TCAAACAATTTGTGATGAACGTCAGAAATGTCTTCAAAGTTTTAATTATATCCACGACAACACTATCGTTCGTTGCGACAGCATCCATTGTGGCAACATTATCGTCCTGTATGACATTACGTACTATGACAGCGTTTGTCATGGGAACAACGTATATACCCTGCATCTTTTTCGTCCGGCTCTCAAATGTTCTGTAAACAAACTATGCACATATAATCCCCGTATATCCACAAATTCCGTACATTCTACGGTCCACACTCGTCGTCGCCGCTACCGCTACCGCTACCGATGCTGTTATTGCTGCCGTAGTCTACACTCGTGGCTGCCGCTACCGCTACCGCGTCCGTCGTAATCAACGCTCAACCGAAGTGGTACAGCGACGGAGCTGCGACGTCGTTTGCTGTTCCGCCGCGGGCGCGTGGTGTTGTGGTGGTGGCGGCGGCATCCATATGCGGACGTGTCTGTATCGGTGGAGGCCGTATATTCGTATTATTACGATCCATATTCTTACTACTTTCGTATTTTTACCTTTGTTTTTTGCAATTTCTGTGTCAATTTCTGTTGCTATTTGCGTCACTGCTTCCTTAGTTTTCTCTATTATCTCCGTTTCCGTTGTTGTTACTTCAGGGATTTTCTGCCAGTCCACGTTTCCGTCTCCATCAGTCCTCCCCGGACCCGACTTATACTCCTCCCACTTTTCGCTACAATCCGTACTGTTTTCCAACTGTCCTATTCTGCCCATTAGGTTCCCCTCATGTATTAACAAGTTTACCATGGCTCCATCTACTACTCTTACTCCACGTTTCTCAATGTCATAGCCGCATTCGGTGCACCGCCCTTCCATAACGGGACCCGAGATTGTCACTGCACCAGTTTTTTCGTCTTTGCCCATTTGCTGCACTGTTTTCCAGGCATATTCTACACCTCTTTTCCACGTTCCTTGCTTTTTACAATACATAGTTTTTAGCATGTATCCAAAGACATTTGCTAGTTCACACCGGAACCTTTCGTACAATTTATCGTCATCCGTGTTCTGTGCTTTCCCACTGTTTCCATCGTGCCCATGCTGGTTCGCGAAGAACAAAGCAAGGGTCATGAGTCTGCACCGTACTACGTCCGCCACCCTTTGCCCTATTGTGTGACCATGCTGCTGTGGGAAATCATCCCAACCGTAATTTTCACAGTTTGTACCCCACGTATCCATGTGCTCTTTATTCTTGTCCATATAATCAGAAAACTCCTGCAACACTGTCTTCAATGCCTGCAGTTGTTCACTCTATATGGTGCACGTGGAAATGAACAAATACTCATGTGCCCATTGCATCTTCATGCTACCTGTCGTAAGCATGCACACCCGCATGTATGTGTATACTGCATGAATAAATTCTGCGGCCACTACTTAATTGCCCGTTCTTTGTATGGTTCGCTGCCGTCCTACTTTAACTTACACTATAAATACCCTTCACGTGAAGTCCGCTATGCCCTGTATCCATTACGCTCCTCCAAGCACAATTATCTTCTGTTGCGGTTGTCGCTTTCGGTGCCTTCTCCTTGCCTCCTCCGGGAGTCGCACCACCAGCCTTACCAGTCTTACCACCACCACCAACAGATGTCGTCGTCGTTGCCCCCGGTCCCGTGGTCGTGGGTTTCCCATCCGTCGTTGCCACCGCTGTTGATGCCGGTTGCGGCGCTACTGGTTTGACAGGTTTCTTTCCTCCGTCGACGGGTGGTGGTGCTGGTTTGGCCGGGGCGGGTTTGACACGTTTGGGGTTCACTTTTTCCTTCACTTTCTGTACTCCCTCCTTTATCTTCTTCTCTAGTTCACATTTCTTCTTGGACGCTTCTTCCTTCTGCATGTCGTCTAACACCGGCGTCACGCGCCTAAACATAGTAGTATGCGCCCAGTATTTTATGCTTCTCATGAGCTCAGAGTCTTGTGGTGTCTGCACCGACTGTTCATTGCACTTCTGTTCACTGTCCTCGCGCTCCCTGTGTGCCCAAGCACACTGCTGCCCTGTGCCGTGTGTACTTCTTGTTTTGCCTCCTGGCAAACCCTGCTGCCATTCGTTTATGCGCTGCTGTAGGCCTGGTCCAATACCTCCTACTCCGAATATGACTTCCCCATAGTCCCTTCCCTCACATACCCCTGGCGCATAGTGCGTGTGCCCTGGTGCATCCGTGTTCCGCATGTGTTGCTCAACCTTCTCTATTATTTCCCTATGATCACTAGTTTGCCCATACAGCTGTAGTAAAACCTCAGTGCCCAGTGTACACCGTAAATATTCCGTAAACGGCGCGCGCCTTGTGTGATCCGCCCGTCTGGTTGTCCAAGTACCCTTACTGTAACTGTATCCCTTTATGTAGAGCATAAGGTTCGCAATTTCATGACACCTGCTCTTGCATGTGGACATATTTGGCTGCGCTCCGGTATATATACTTCCACAAATACTGGCGTTCTCGCCGCTGCGTTGGGTGATCGTGCTTGTTACTTCCTGGAAGATAATGCTGACCTCGCGCATTAATTGTGTCTGTAGATGGAAGAATCCATGTATGCGTGTGCATATTCTTTATGCCCATGTTGTCGTAAATTCATGTGCATTTAATCATACTGCATTTCAGATGCATGCATTCAGTTTGTACTGTATCTGTGCGCAGCATACCTCCCTTACGTTGCCGACATGTATATAAGTAGTCTACGCACACATACAGGTTCGAATCTCCCATGTATATATATTGCTCTCCAAACTGCACCATTGTTCATCATTCGGAATGTTGTGTACAATTGAACTCACCCAATATCCTTGTCCGTCGTTTATACCCCTTCTCTGTAGATAATCACTCCATGCTCCTAGAAAATCCCTTATGTCCTTCTCATAGTTGCCGTTACCCATAGTGAACACAGTTTATTCCCTTCTTAAAAAAAAAAGTACGCGACTACCACTACTACTACTACTACTACTACACACCGCTCAATAACAACAACAACAAAAAAAATATACACACACCCGTCTCCATCACCGCTTCTGCGTCAACACTTTTCCGTCACCCCGTTCACCGTCAACGCCTCTCCCGTCAACGCCTCTTCCGTCAACGCCTCTCCGTCCACGCCGCTCCGTCAACGCTCTTCTCCGTCACCCCGTCTCCGTAACCCCGTCTCTCCGTCAACGCCTCTCCCGTCAACGCTTCTCCGTCAACGCCTCTCCGTTACGCCGTCTCCGTACAAGGATGGTCTCCGCGCAAACACGGCTGAGTGTAAGAAGGAGGAGAGATTGTCTGTCCGAGCAAACGCGGCCGGTTAAACGGGATTGTGCGAGTAAGACGGATTCGACGAAGTAGCCGAGTGTAAGAAGGAGGAGAGATTGTCTCTCCGAGTAATGCGACCGAGTGTAAGAAGCATTCGACGTAGTATCCGCGTGTAAGAAAGGAGGAGATTGTCTCCGAGTGAGGATCAATAGAGGGAGCAGCGAGAGGCGGGGCGGCGCAAGGAACACACATATTGTGTGGGATGAAGGACGGGGAATTGTGATTCACTTGTATTAGTGTAGAAGAGGATATTTGTTGTTAAGGAGGGTATTTGTGGTTAAACTGGTATTTGTTGTTAAGGGGGGTATTGTTATTAAGGATTTTAGTGAACACGGCGGAATATTCTAAGTATGTAACTGTAGAAGTTCCCGTTAGAGGAATATGATTCCGAAAGATAATGTTCAATTAATGTGGACTTTGAATAAGTATCGAGCAGAGTGTCATCCTATATAAGAAGGACCACAAGGGAGGAAGCCATGTGGAAGTATTTGAAAGTACTATGGGAGGATTATATAGAGACCCGAGACACAGGCGTGCGGCCGGATGACAAAACATTTGATGTAAGTTCATGCATGGGGGAGAATGAGGGAAGACCAAAATAATGTTATTCATGTGTATTAGGGTCAATGTGGGGATGACTAAGACACGGGGGGGTATATATGTCTATGCTGTCGCTCAGTATACTTTCTGCATATGGAATATGACACATATACAGGACAGGGTGTGTTGTTGGACGTACAACTATATAAGAAGCGAAAATTAAGGGAAAGAATGTCCTTTATGCGGACATTCATAATAAATATTGTATTCGTAGGACACATTCTGGAGTAATATTGAGGACGTATGGACGAAGTTTAAGGCCTATATGGAACAGGAGGACGAGCATGGACTATTGGGGACATTGTGTTCGAACAGGCACGAGGACCACGTCGACGGGGAGCCATTCAACCAAAGGGACCAAGCTCTATGCGAGTTAGCACTGAGAGCACTATGCTTTAAGCATAGAATCTCTTTAATAGGGAGCACTGCAAACACGGAAAACTTGGACCAATGAGCAAAGGAAATAGACCTGTATATGAGATGTATTCTAGTTAATATATTTATGAAGAGAATAGTAGGGCGAGGATGTGTGGAAGCGCCTGGTGGGAAACAGGCATTTACAGCTGCGGGGGCTTTCGTGCAGTATGAGGACGTGGGCACGCATAATTTTACATGTGAGCACCGCGACAGAGCCAAAGGCGGTGACGCACATGCACGGCCGGAGGATAGAACTTTGATGACTATAATGCAAAGATGGTTTGATCGGAATATGGGCAGATTGAATGATGGGTACGTAGGAGTACTCCGCAGGGACTGTAAGGTCAGCATAGGCGGAAGTAGGAAAGGAGAAAACGAGGACACATTAATGGAACACATACGGGGGAGAATACAGCAGGAAATGAAGGACGTGGGGCAAGAGTTGCAGCAGAAAGTGCAAGAATTAAAGAACAAAATGCACGATTCGGCAGGAACTAAAAGCATAATGGATATATTGGAAGAGCAGGTGAAGAGGGAGAAGGACCCCTCTTCGAAAACTGCACCAGATAAGGTTTCGGGAGCATCGGGGCCACCACCACCTCCTCCACCAAGGAGACCATCAACACCACAAGATCCGGCGACCTCGGGAACAGGACCAGCAGGGACGGACACTGACCATACAGGTAAGTGTACCGGTAGAACCGCAGTTCATGTGGCGAAGAATGCAGGCCAGGGCATCCCAGGTGCCTCATCCACCACCACCCTTTCTTTTGTGTCGAGCCCAGAGGCTAATAAAGAATGTGAGAACAAGTCCAAGGACTCGGGACCAGGTAGTGTCCTGAGTGAATAACCAGAACAAAAACAGAGAGAAACAAACACAACAAACACGGAACAACTTTTCCGGAGAGAGAGGGAGAGACAACACGGAGAGAGAGAAACCAAACGTCGAATGAGCAGGGCGATGGGTCGGCCGCGGGTTGTAGACGTCGACGGACGTCGACAGACGTCGACACACACACTGTGTGTGTGTTGTGTGTGTGTTGTGTGTGGGAGACAGAGAGAGTCTTTTCCCGTGGTGCCACCTGCCAACCACCGTTCGCACCGTGGTGCAGACCTTCGGTTGCCGCCGTGGTCCACCATCCGAAACATAACTTCCGTTTCTTCCATATTCTTTCCTGTGTTCGAGTTTATAGGTGAAGCCCATGCAAGCGGACCGCCCAGTCCGAGCCAGGAGGAAGCAGGAAAATCGGTACCATCATCACCGACACAAGCACCATCACCAGAACCAGAACCAGAACCAGCAACAACAACCACAACCACAACAACATCCTCCAGTGGAGCAGCCGCGGGATCCCCTGGTCCCCCTGGTCCCGCAGGTAAAGCTGGTGAGTCCGGCCCTTCTGGTCCCGGCTCCTCAGGACCTGGTTCTACTGGTCACCAAAACCCTGCTTCCTCAAGTCCTGCCTCCCCTCCTAGTGCTACTACCGATCAAGGCCTCGGTTCTAATAACACAACTGGACGTAATGATTTTGGATTAGGCACAGATCCTCCAAAAGCAGCAGGTGACTTAGGAGGAAATTACGGACCAGGCCCTCCACAGGTGCCCCATACTGTACACCCACAGAATGTGCCTTCGACTGATGGTGGTCCGGCATCGCCCGACCTAACCGACACCGTCCTTACCGCCACTACTCCCATCCTGTTTTTTCTCACTTCCGTCATCGTGGCCCTTCTGGGTTATTCCCTTTGGAAAGTAAGTACAGCCACAAGGCGCGCACACACACACACCACGCACGCACAAATATAACCGAGTGGAAAAATGGAACAACAACCATTGTCCTTCGCCTTTTCCTGCCACAGGCCTTACTTGTATGTTCCCAAAAGCAACTCTAACCAACTGTACACTATGCGGAAGTTACTCCACAAGAAAACAAAAAAAGGATAATAACTTTTAG